ACTAACATTCCGAGCATTGCGGTTGGTTGTTACGATTGGTACGGCTTTTTGACAATATGGACACATGATGAGTACCCTTAGCCCCCAAACCTTATTAAGACCCCTTCACCTCCTCCGGACTAAGCTTGAGGAGAGCGCTCGTCATGAGAAACCTGTCGCGACTGGACCAGCTCCTGGGCGCAGGAACCCTAAGCCGTAAAACCTGCATCGTCAGCTCCTAGCACGTCCCCAAGCAGGGGCCAGATCGTCCCTGGTCACCTTCCTAAACCCTAAACCCTAAACCCTAAACCCTAAACCCTAAACCCTAAACCCTAAACCTTGTCAAAAACCGCACACAAAAAAGAATAGGCCCAGCCGTGAGGTCCTGGAGCTGGCGTCGCAAGGCCCTCTCCGAAGGAGTGGCGCGGAGGGATAGGGTGCTTCCCTCCTGAAGGGCTTGGGTTTAGGGTTTAGGGTTTAGGGTTTAGGGTTTAGGGTTTAGGGTTTAGGGTTTAGGGTTTAGGGTTTAGGGTTTAGGGTTTAGGGTTTGGGGTTTAGGTTTTAGGGTTTGTGTTTTTTAGGGTTTCAGGGTTTCAAGGTTTTCGGGTTTGTGTTTTTTAGGGCTTCAGGGTTTTTAGGGTTTATGTGCTTAGGGTTTCAGGTTTTAGGGTTTCAGGGTTTTAGGGTTTAGGTGTTTAGGGTTTCAGGGTTTTTGGGTTTAGGGTTCTAGGGTTTGGGGCTTATGTTTTGAGGGGTTTGGGTTAGGGGGGTGTTGTGGGACAGGATTGCATTGGCTTTCGGGCTTCGGGACTTTATGGTCTGGCAACCTAAACCCGAAACCCGAAACCCTAAACCCTAAACCATAACCCCTAAACCCTAAACCCTAAACCCTAAAGCTTTCAGGGCCTTCAGGGCCTTCAGGGCCCTAGGGAATCGGAGCAGGGAGCCCCTGAACAAGGAGATGGGTTGCTTCGGAAAATCTAACCCTAGCCTTAATTTAGGGAATCCTAAACCTAAACCCGAAACCCTAAACCCTAGGCCCTAAATCCCTAACCATGTTCCCTAGCAGGCCGCTTAAGGAAAAACGACAAGGATAATTGGCAAGCAGAACAAGATGCAAGAACGGCAGCTCGAACATTTTCTTGGGCTTGACAAAAGCTCGCCGTTCGTACCTCCGAGTGATGCCCGAGACGCTTGTGACTCCCTAACCCTAAACCCTAAACCCTAAACCCTAAACCCTAAACCCTAAACCCTAAACCCTAAACCCTAAACCCTAAACCCTAAACCCTAAACCCTAAACCCTAGCTGCACCACTCGGCTCTAGGACTCTTGGCGGTGTGCCGCAGTGTATCCTCCTTCTCGCTTGGACAAGTTCAGCGGTTAGATGATGGTGGGACTCTGCAGATTCTAACGGTCTACCTCTTGAGAAAGGCCACTCCTGCCGTCAAGCCTGGTTGAAGTTGCCCGTGGGCAACGGGAGGCTTCTACCAAGTAAGAGGTGCTTGCAACATCCGATTAAGTTCGGCGATGGGGCAAGTCTCCAGAACTCACTTGGGGGTTTACGAAATAAAGGACCCCAAATACATACCGCCAGATAGTAGGATTCCCTGATAATGAGGACGCAAGGTACCCCTAATTTCGGAAACCCTCAATTGCCAAGCTCCTTGATGCCACAGTCTGCCACTCGCGACCCTGGCTCGTGCTCAGCATCGCAATTGCTGCTTGGTACTTCTCACGGCTTGAGCTTCAGTACATATCTCATACGCTAAGGCTTCTTTACTCAATACTGATAAGGGTGCCACCTGAGTAGAAAAGCCTATGAGGACAAGCTAAGCGGACAGCGTTTCTGAACCCTAAACCCTAAACCCTAAACCCTAAACCCTAAACCCTAAACCCTGGAAGTTTCTTCAATCCCGCCCGGCTCGCCTTCGGGAAGGGGCTTGGCATCCATCATAAGGACCTCTTCGTTGCCATTCCATCAGAGTGCCAGCACAAGTGCAAGCCCTAAACGGAATAGAGATGGGATTTACGAAAATAGGCGAGCCCCAATGTGGACGCCACAAATAGTAGGATCCATTCACAATAAGGACCCCAAATAGGAACTCGATGCATTCTCGTCAGCAGCGTCCGCCTGGTCCGGGAAGGGCACCAAGGAAACAGATCTTATCCGCTCCTGACAAGACAAGCACGCTGCCTCATCGAAACCCTAAACCCTAAACCTTGAAACCCCTGAACCCTGAACCCTAAACTACTCTGGACTGATATGCTAGGCCATGCTGGGCACTCAATCTAGGATTCTAGGCCATGGCTGTGACTCTTCGTTTTTCTCGCCACTTTACGGTCGTCCCTGCAGGGCTGCGCCACAACTCCCACAAGCGCGTCTGCCTTCAGAGCCTCGACCGTCTCAGTGACGCCTCAACTTCAGAACGCCCGATAGTTGGACGAGCAGCTCATGCAAGCAATAGTTGACGCATTTGCATGCATATGTACATATGTACAAATATACGTACACACATATTTAACTATGTGTGTACACACAATATAGGTACGTACGTACGTACCTACATACATGCATGCATGCATACATACATACATGCACATGCATGTATACAAATCTACGTATATACATATACGCACATATGTTTCTGCTATGCCAAGCAGACCAGGCTTGTCGAGCCACTGGGCCCCAGGCCCACCGCCAGATCAAAGCAAGATGCACAGTCCGGGTTGCTCTTCACATCCACCGACACCTGGGGGAAAACTTTCCACAATGGGGTCTTGAACCTCCTGTATGCTTCGAACTAAGTAGGATTTAGGAGTGATTTAGGGTTTAGGGTCCTACTTCCCCTCCTCTTTAAACACAGCCCCCCCCGCCCCCGCCCCCACCCAAACCCTAAACCCTTCCCCCCCCTTTCCCCCCGCCAAAAAACCCACAACAGCGCCGTGCTCTTCATCTTTGCCTTCGAACTGAGTCTTCCCAGTGGCTATGGCCTTTGGGATGTCGTGCAACCTTACGCAGCAAGGCTTGCGGGCCCCAAAATAACCCCAAAAATAAGAGTCTTTGGAGCCCCAAACTTCCTAAACCCTAAACCCCCGAAGGCCCAAAACCCCGCAAAGTCCCTAAAATACGAACCCTTGGAGCCCAAAAACCATAAAACCCTTAACCCTAAACCCCCAAAAACCCTAAAGATTGCCAGTCCTTGGAGCCTCAGAGCTTTGAAAAACGCGCGCGCCTTCACATGGATCAGAGGTCCCGTCATGTGCCGCAGCCTAGGGCTGAAGCTTCTGAGACCCTTTCATGCTGTTTAGGGTTTAGGGGTTAGGGTGTTTAGGGTTTTTAGGGCGGTTTTAGGGTTTTTAGGGTTTTAGGGTTTTTAGGGTTTTTGGGGTGTTTAGGGTTTACAGGGTTTATAGGGTTTATAGGGTTTATAGGGTTTATAGGGTTTTATAGGGTTTATAGGGTTTATAGGGTTTATAGGGTTTATAGGGTTTATAGGGTTTATAGGGTTTATAGGGTTTAGGGTTTAGGGTTTTGACAAGGGTTTAGGGTTTAGGGTTTAGGGTTTAGGGTTTAGGGTTTAGGGTTTAGGGTTTAGGGTTTAGGGTTTAGGGTTTAGGGTTTAGGGTTTAGGGTTGGGCTCCCGCAAGGGCTTAGGGTGCGGGGGTTGCTTTGGGGTGCCTGATAGGGGTTCAGGGTTTTGGGTTTTTGGCGTGAGGGGTTTCTGCTAGTTGGGGATATATATATATATGTATAATATATATATATATATATATGTATATATATATATACATATATATATATATATATTTGTGGCCACGGTCGAACTCTGCGGTCCAGGTTAGCAAGCCCCAAAAAATCACGTCCGAACAAAAACAGGACCCAGAAATCTCAAGGAAAGCAAGAACTACGACGAAATACCCTCCACTCCCTTGAACATGAAGGCCCGTCACGTCCTCAACCGGATGTCGATGGAAAGTTCTTGCCAAACATGAAGTCAAGCGCCCAGAAACCTTTTGCCTCAAGCGCCTTGCCTGAAGCACCTCAACACTGGTTTTAGAGCAGGGTCTAGGGTCTATAGCGTCTATAGCAATACATGCTGCTGGCCAAGGCACCCAATCTCGAAAGCATACGCTTGTCAGACATGCTTAGAACCTCGCGGCTGAGGGCATTCTGTGTGACATTCCATGGCTTGTAGGCTTGGAGAATGCGTTTTATTGTTTGACGGCATGGAAGACGCAAGATGGGACAAGCCACGGTAGCTTCTAAATGTTTATCAACGCGTGTGAACATCCCTGAATGCTAAAGCCTGGTTAGGAAGCCGCTCCGTATTCCCATGGACCATTGCCGCCAAGGAGCGTGAAGCTTGGTGGCCGGGCGGCAATAAGCCAAATGCCAGCGCGATCAACGTTTGACATGTTTCTCCTGACAGGAAAATAGGAACACAACTAGCTCCCATCAACAGGGCCGCCCAGAAAAAAGCAGTCAGGCTTTTGTCACAGGGAATGTCCGTCAGTCAGCGTTTCTGCCGCAGGACAGTGTACGTTAAAGCCATTTTGGCTCTCTTCACGAGACAGCATTCACAGAGGTCTCTTCTAAGAATTAGCCCAGCAGCTTTCTGTTACGCCTTGTGCTTCGCGCAGCATTCACACAGGCTACTTCCACAATGCGCCCACTAGCTTTCTACAACGTTTTGCACGTCTGCAAACTCAGACTCCGGCTCTACTGACTGTTTGATTCTTGCGCCACTCTTGTCCTGCACCAATGCATCCAGCGGACTCTTGCTCTCAGCCAGCAAATCCCAGGCAAAGCTCCTGTGAGGGTCCTACAATGGCTGCATGCCAACATCTTGGCCTCACCGCACAAGCCATTGCGGCCTGCTCGGCCAAAGGGAGTTTCTGCCCCGCAATCGACGTCGACACAAAGATTCTACCAGTCGGAGGACATCTGCGGACGCTGCAAGCACGGCATCAAGCTCTGCGCCGCAGGGCCAAAGCTGGCACCCACCTTGGCCGTCAAGGACTCACCCCTCCGCATGCCTGGAGGACGATCCTGATTGGAGGAAGGCTGGCCAGGTCTGCTTGACAGCCAAGCTGGTAGTCTGCGGCTTGCAGGAATCCAATCTTGGAACGAGACGCTGGAGCGCAGCAACAAGCGCGCGCTGCCTTTTCACACTGGCACGCAGCAACGCGCCTACCTCTTGCACGGCAACCACGGCGGCAGGGTCATGGTCTGGAACTGCAACTTGAAAGAACTTGTCACCGCCAGTCATCGCGGCATCGTCGCAATCAGCTACTGACACCTGTGCTCCCGTCACTACGAGGCACGTGTTTCCCTGCTTGACTTGCCCATCTTGAGCGACAACCCATGACCCTTGGCCTTCTTGGCACTCAATCAAAGACCACTTGCCAGCCACAACACCCAGGCAGCCCCCGCCCAGCACTTACAGCTCACCTCCTGCACCTGCAAAGATCTCTGCACCGTTGCCGCTCACAACCGCATCAACGCACAGCTTTGCCGCCACACCGCTGCTTGATGCGACCACACACTGCTCCTGAGCTGCTGGGACACCACTGACCAGCATGAAGGCAGACGGCCTCGCGATCGCCACTGCATTGGACAAGCCGAAATATCCCCAAGGCTTTGCACCACGCATCAAGACTTTCACAGCCTTTGCAGCCACCAGCTCTGGGAACAAGATTGTCTCCTCGACGCTGGGCTCCGGCCTCGAAAGCTTGCGCCAACCAACACTCTCCTGGAAGTTACCACCATCCGAGCTGGTGAGCACTTTAACTTCTCCAGGAGCATAGCTCCATCGCAACGTCACAGCAAGCAGCTGCCTCCGTGCCTTGAACACGCCAGTCCAAGACACGCTCTGCCCAGGTTCATGGTCCCCAGCGCTGCACCAACATCCGGAGGACTCGCTTGTCGCCAGGTCTGGAGATAGCAAAATTCACCCCACGCGCGACACTAGCATCAGCGATCGGCAGTCGCAAATGGCCCATCTTTGGACGGTCGGAAACGAGTCCAGCATCAGCATAGTCGGGCCAGTCTTCGCTGAGTTGCGGGGTGAAAACAGCGCTGCCTGCTGTAAGAAGAATCGCTAACTCTGCTTGTTCCCAGGCATTTCCATCACCACATCTTTCCAGACTGGGTGAAAGGGCTCCTTTTTGAACAACGCGCCACAAAAACCTTGGAGATATTCGAGTGGGTCACACTGAAGGGTCTCTCCACAACATTCTGTTCTGTGCATGGGCGAGGTCTGCTTCGAAAGTTCGCATGGCTTCTTGAGCCTTGTTGACTGCTCTTGAAACACTCGAATTTCTTCAAGGTAAATGTCCATTTACCTTGAGGAAATTAGAGTGTTTCAAGCAAGCGATTTCCTTGAACACATGAGCCTTTGTTGACCAGGCGATTCTGCACGGACGCTCTTCGGACGGCGTCATCCTTCGCCTGGGCCTGGGCGTGTCCAAGAGGTAGACGTAACTCAACTTGCAGTCAGGCTTGTCACGCTTGGCACTCCGGTCACCACTCGGAATGTCCAATCTTTCAGACACATGCGTGAACGGTGTCGCCTGAAACCATTCGAGCCAAAACTGGTCTTGACATGGCGGCTCGACGTGCTTTGACATTTTGCCGGCTCTCACAACCTTGACGCACATGCCATTCCTCTGAAGCAGCGTTCCTTGGCACACGTCGTCACAAAGTCGGTGAACTCTTGTTGATGGCGAAACACAGTCTTGGAGTCTCTCACTAACATCTTGAGGATGAACGACTTCCGTTCTTTCATGAAGTGCTCCTGGGTCAAGCCGGGGCATATCTCGCATGGCAGCTGTACCATCGGCCCACGGGGCACAGCGACATCTACAGAGTCCACATTGCAGAAGACATCATCCTCCAATTGCTGCAACAATGCCGTGGCATTCATGGCACCCACCGCAGGCTTTTTCACGTCTAAAGATATCGAACGCCCGAGTTCTGAGCAAGGAAAGCGGAGGCCAGGTCCTGCCATTCCAAAAGCTCCCCCCCCCCCCCCCCCCCCCCCCCCCCCCCAACCTGGTTTCTTTTGAACAAACGATCGGCACTCTTCCAGGGTTGACACGGGACGTCTCATTTTTCTGTAGGGCCGCGAACCGTCAATCTTCGACCAAGTCCTTCACAGAAACCCCCGAAGGCCTGCAGATGACCGACATGTCCTCCGAACCCGATGCCCACAACAGCACGAAGAGCCCTTAGAGCTCAGCAGCCCAACCCCTTGAGGCCCTGAGCGCTCGAGAAGGAAACCACAGAGCATTAAGGGGTATAAGGAGGTAACCCCTAGAAGGGACCCTGAATCTTATTCCTCCTCCTTTAGTTCCTTGAGAACAAGCAGCCGCGGGCTCTTTTCCATAAGGAAAATCGATGTCACATAGCATCAGCAACTAACCGCTGGCCGTTGGGTTCGCGGGCCGATGTCGGAACTCCTGCAAGGCTTCATGAACTCCATGAACCGGCAGCGAATGATCAAACCATTAGTACGATTCTTATTGTTATTTGTTAGTAGTAATATTCTTGCTAGCAAAAAACACTAGCAAGGACTTTATTAGACCTAATTAATATGTACGTATAGATACTACTCTTCATCCGCACATGTATAACAACAACTTTTGCATTTGGAGTTGGATTCCCATGTATATATAGAATGCAAACTACAGCTCGCCACAAAAACAACTCCCAGAGCACTCCTTGCCCTTCTCGAAGAAGCCCTCATCCGACCATGTAGGCCAACAGTCCACGGACTTGTCGTGCCTGGGCTTGGGGGATTAGGGTTTCGGGTTTGGGGTTCAAGGAAGATTCTCCTAAACCCTAAACCCTAACCCTAAACCCTAAACCCTGATTTGTGGTCCAAGCTGCACCTCGAAGCCTGGCAGATCAGGGCACAGACGATGCTTCAGGACCTCGGCTGGGTCTCCAAAGCACGGCACACCGACACTCCTAGCCCTAAACCCTAAACCCGAACACCCGGTGAGGCGCTACCAAGCAAGCCACCCTAAACCCTAAACCCTAAACCCTAAACCCTAAACCCTAAACCCTAAAAAATCGGCTCTTGGTCTGCCCAAAATCGGTGTAGGTGCCGCTTCGTTCGGTGTTGGTCAGTTCCAAGTGCAGGGGCGGAGGGGTGAGGGGGTTGGGGGCACCCTAATCCCTCAACCCTAAACCCTAAACCCTAAACCCTAATCCCTCAACCCCATAAACCCAACAAACCTTGCCAAAGCAACACTACAGCAATAAGCGTTGTACGAAGTCATGGCGATGTCAAAAAATCCTGTCCACCAAGCTGCATAGATCGGGTTCATATTCCACCAAGATATCCCAGTTTTCTCCATGATCATCTTGTACCCAGGGTCGTGACCCATCATATTCTCATCGTCGAGGGTCTTGCCGGCTTTCCGAAAATCACGCCTCATCCAGGCTTGCAGCTTATGGAAGGAAAGGCGAAGGTGAAGCTATGCGTGAAGCTCCGCAAAGAAAGCTGGTTAATTATTTATTCACACCTGCTACTGGCGAATGGCTGCATCCTACTCTGACTTGCCGCTCTCGCGACTCAGAATCTGACACTTCTGCGCATGCGACAGGACAGCACTAGCTGGTCACTTAGTGGATGCTGATGGAAGGCCGTGACAGAAGCTTCCCTGAAAATAGGCATGTGGTCTCCAGGAACACACACACACACACTCAGCTGCATGAAGGAACGCACAGCATCAGCAAGGGCTTGCCCCAAGTTCGACCTCCCCCCTCCGCTAAACAGCTTTGCTGCTAGCGTTCGACGGACAAGCTCCGGGCGGTTTAATGGAAGCAAGGCAAGAATTTCACACCACTGGCCCCTTCTTCAAGCACTGGCTACGAAGCTCGCCCAAACATGATGCTGCGGACGTAAACCATCATGAGCCTGGAAACACACGTACTCAACTCAAAGCCGATGACCACTGTCTTAAATCACATCTTAGCGGCTCTATGAACAGGATGCCGGCAACGTACATGAAAAACGTCAGCAAAAAGATGAGGACGAAGATCAATACCGCGAACGGTCTCTCCGTGATCTCTTGCAACCTGGGCGAAGTTGATGCCACTGGTGGGATCCAAGGTGATCACACGCCGGCTTCTGCTATACATGATGTTGACATGCCTGACTCTCTTGCATCCTACGTATCAGACCATTCAGACCATTGCAGTCGCCTATCCACGCTGTGTAAGCCACGTGCACCTTGACCCGACTCGTATCTGGACTACTACTGCAGTTTTGGCGTCAGATGCTGCTGCTGCCGCTGGTACAGCTGCGCCACCACAACCAGGACGTGGACAAGCAAAAATGCCACTGCTGCTATGAAAACTGTATACACCACGGGTCTAAAGTGAAGACGGCGAAAGCATCCTGGAACCAGTGGTCAAGCAGCCGGTATGCCCACAAGGCGAACGAAGAAGCGGCCATGGATAGCACAAGCCCCCACACCTGAAACAGCCGGACAGGGTTAGGGGTGCATGAAATCATAGCAGCCACCTGAAGAGACTACCATCCCAGAGACGTGCATCGCAATGAATCTCATGTGGATCCCTACTCCATGAAAAGGCCCTGAGAAGTTCCAGCTGACACCCTAGTGACCTGACGCAGTGTAGCCCCTAAACCCTGAACCCTAAACCCTAAACCCCAAACTAGGATTCAGACGATGATGAAGGAAAAGTAAGTCCCATCGGAGTCGAACTGGGACTTGCCGTACCTCAAAGGCATCACCACTTCGACACGGGGCTCGTGGTCTTGAAACAGAAGGTGAGGTTCAGGGTTCAGGATCTAGGGTTTAGGATGTAGGGATTGAGGGGTTTGGGTTTCGGGCCTACTGGCAGGATAAGGAAGCGGCATGAGGTTCACATGGGGGTTTCCCGAAACCTTTTTGAGGTCCTTTTTTTAGGGGGAGCCCTCATTTTCGTCAACGCCCACATGCTTCAGATGCTCCAGCACCACAGCTGCCTTGGGCGCCCGCTGAGGTTATTTTTTCGGGCTTAGGGTTGAAGGCTTCCTGGGTCCATCAGTGATGAAGCGACCGATCCCATTTCCTCATGTGTCCTAAACCCAAGCGTGAACGTCTCAACAACCGACCATGGCTTGTCCAGGTCGACTCCCTCTCTTGAAGCCACACTTCCGGCTTTAGACACGTGACAAGTTTCCATCCCCGCTACATCACGCTCACTAGCCCAAAGTCCGATGACCGCTATGAGCACGGGTTAGCTATTAGAGCTCCGGTCAACTCGAGTCCCAACAACTCTCCCAACGAAGGCCGCGCACCGGCTCGACCCCAATCGACCCTCGAAGCCGGTGGGGCACAGCCAAAGCATCACGTAGCGCTGCCAAAGGAAGAACAGAACGCTGAATGCCAACCTCGCGCGCCGGTTCGAGTCGTGTTTGGGGGTTGGGCCAAGCCAGGGACTGGACATCGAAGGCCCCAAGATTCGCGATGTCATGCGTACGATGACTTGTGCATCGAATCCCTACAGCATCGAGGGCCTCTAGGGCCCTAGATCCTGCAACCCAAACCCCCCCTAGAATCCCAGAACCCCAGAAAGAGCATCCCAAAGTGTGCGAAAGTCCCAGATGCTGGGCGAGCCAGACCCGCATGCTGTAGTCAATGAAATAGAGAGCCGTGAGGGCAATTCCTCGATGGCAAACCCTAAACCCTAAACCCTAAACCCTAAACCCTAAACTCTAAACCGTCAAGCCCGGGGTACAGCTCTGTGATGAACTGCCAGTCTCAAGCCCCATGCGAGCACACGCGAGGGATTGATCCTCTAGTTTCGCTGGTCTGGATGGTGAGGCAATGGATTTGTTTGGGGTTTAGGGTTTAGGGTTTAGGGTTTAGGGTTTAGGGTTTAGGGTTTAGGGTTTAGGGTTTAGGGTTTAGGGCTTAGGGTTTAGCGTTTAGGGTTTAGGGTTTAGGGTTTAGGGTTTAGGGTCACACGAAACCGATCTGCAAGCTTGGCACCTGGAAAAATAATCACGTAGGTGTACTCCATCCACAGCAGCAGTGGCACCAGCATTTGCGCCTTCTCCGCTTCTCCTCATTTGCGAAGCACACACAGAGGCATGTGAAGATCCCACGCAAACTATGGAGAAGCAATGTCATCGCTGCTCTCAATGGAAAGGTGGCTCTTGCTGCACCCCCCTCAATCGAAGCTGCCCTACATCCCAAAACCCGAATCCCCCCCAAACCCCCTGGGCAGTGCATCCGCCTGGACCCTAAACCCTAAACACTAAACCCTAAATCCTACACCCTAAACCCTAAACCCTAAACCCCCTGGGCAGCCTCTCTGCATCCGCCCTAAACCCTAAACCCTAAACCCTAGCCCTAAACCCTAAACCCTCTCTGCATCCGCCCTAAACCCTAAACCCTAAACCCTAAACCCTAGCCCTAAACCCTGAACCCTCTCTCTGCATGCGCCAGGCTTCGAGCAGTAAGCGTCATGGTGGACCGCGTCTTTGGCAGCATTGTGCGGAGAGCCTCCTGGATCCTGGCCTGGCGAACTCAAGGCAGGAGCTTCGCTGAAAGAGGACATGGGGTAGGCAAAGAGGGTTTAGGGTTTTAGGGCTAGGGTTTAGGGTTTAGGGTTTAGGGTTTAGGGTTTAGGGTTTAGGGTTTAGGGTTTAGGGTTTAGGGTTTAGGGTTTAGGGTTTAGGGTTTAGGGTTTAGGGTTTAGGGTTTAGGGTTTAGGGTTTAGGGTTAGGAGTGGAGGGGAGGGCCTTCGGAGAGCCACCAATGTTCAGGATGAAGACGGCTCGGAGGGCGAACCAAAAGAAGGCCACAGGCCTCAGATCGAGGGGAACACCCAGAGTCCAAAACAGGAAACGAGCCTAGGGTTTAGGGTTTAGGGTTTGGGGTTTCAGGTTTAGGGTTTAGGGCTTAGGGCTTAGGGCTTAGGGCTTAGGGCTTAGGGCTTAGGGCTTAGGGCTTAGGGCTTAGGGCTTAGGGCTTAGGGCTTAGGGCTTAGGGCTTAGCGTTGGCAAGTATCCCTCAACTTCAGACTATCATCTCTGTCTTTGGAGAGTGCGCAAGTCAAACTGGGACGCGATACCCGATGGCAACTTGCGGCTTCACGTGCCGAAACAGGAATGCCTGAATTTCAGAATCGAGAATGTGTATTCCAAAAAAGTAGAGCATTTTCTTACAATAATCTAATCATCTAGCGGCCTAGTATTATAAAGCGATGTATTACTAGAATGAGCTAATACTGGATAATAAAACATATCAAACTGGTACAATCGTATTCCAGCGAAATCGTAGAACCGTATAATTGTTTAACAATATAAGAAAAACAATATAATAGTATAACAATACACCAAAATAACAATATAACAGTGTAACAATACAACAACTTAACAGTACAAAGATACCGTAATACAGTAAAGTAGAAACAACAATACAATAGCATAACAGTATGACAGTGCAAGAGTATAAGATGCTAAGATTCTGACAACATTGATATTGCAATATGAAAATACATGGACGCCAAATCCGAAGATAAGGAGCGCGACACAAGGAAACTAACTCGTAACTCGAACATAGAAACCTGCACGAAAGATGGAAACATAAGAACAAAAGAACCCTTAACCCTTAACCCTGAACCCTAAGCCCTAAACCCCAAACCCTAAACCCTAGACCCTACAGCGGAAGCTTTGCCAACTTGGGAGGCGCGCCCGATAACGTTGCCAACCTCGCCAAGCACGTAAAGCCTCAGAGGTTCCACCGGTAGACTCAGGCAGAAGTCAGGCAAGTTGCATATAGTGAAAAAAAAGCTTAAGGTTTCGGGTTTCGGGTTTCGGGTTTAGGGTTTAGGGTTTAGGGTTTAGGGTTTAGGGTGTAGGGTTAGGGTTGAGGAAAGATTTAGGATGTTCCCACTTCTACTAACAGTCCTTCATAGGGATTCTAGTAGACCTCATATAGGAGAACATCCCAAATAAAATGTATTCATATGAAGAATCTAAGAACATAACAAAACAAATATCATTACATAGTAATAATATACTAGAATAACCACATCAGTGCATTTGGCTAGCAGGGCAAACAACGGCTACTCCAGCACAGCTCTCAGCTATTCCAGCTGGGGCAACATAATGGTCTGCTCAGTGAAGACGGACCTTGCGTACGAAGCAGCGCAACCGGGTTGGTTTAGGGTTTAGGGTTTGGGGGTGTGGGGTTTTGGGTTTCGGGTTTAGGGCCGTTTACGGTTGCTTCTACTTCCCACTTCACTCCTATTCTCTTGTGTGTGTGGCCTCGGGTCGCGCAAAAGCACAGATGGTCGCCCTCCCCTGGACCGTCCGCGGACCCCCCCCCAACCCCGTCACGCGTTTGAAGAACTTTGTTTACGACTACTTCTAAGTGCAAAGTTGCCATAGAAGCATGGTTGTCTTTCATATGCTTCGCCAGAGGTTGCAGGAGGGACTGCAGGACAACAGCAGAGAAAGAGAGAAACACGGAGAGAGAGAGAGAGGGAGAGAAAGGGCGAAGGAGAAAAACAAAACAAAGAAGAATGAAAGAAGCTGAGACAGATATATGCGTATGCATGTATCTATAATTGAGAAAGAGAAAGCGAAAGAGAGCCTGTGTTCTTGTCACAGGCAGTCTGTCTCTACTCTGCGAGTCAGATGCCTTTCCAGGTTGAAATTTCGGACATGTCACCTGTGCAACCTTCCGAAGGAAGGCAACCTTCCGAAGGAAGGCAACCTTCCGAAGGAAGGCAACCTCATCACTAGTAATACGACTAAGGGGGCCTTTCTGTGGTCCTTTGCCTGCTGTAGAGTGGATCCGACTAACATGTCTAAAATATCCTGGGTTTCCGACCCTTGCCAATGTTGGGGTAAACTCCACACCGGACACTCGACAGATATATCGGCTTGGGACGTAGAACGACAGCAAAAAGGAAGCCTGCAATCAACCACCTCCGCCACTGGGGCTGGGGAATTAGAGAGTCAGGGTTTAAAACCCTAAACCCTAAAAGAGTTCAGAGTTCTCCCGCTCTTCCTTGCCCGGTCGTCCCCGCCCATTTGGCCATGGGACAGAAGCGCATCGTAGGCATCGATCTCCGCCGAGGCAGATCGAAACAGCTCGCGTCGCCAGAGCCACCACTCTGCAGTATGGGCCTATCCAGCGGTTTCACCATTGCTCTGATTCTTTCTGTGTCGATGCTCATTTTGTTCATGGTTCTTGCTGGTATTTTGTACAGATTTATTACCATCGGGTACTCTTGTTGTGCTTGTTTATGTAGTGCTTCTATTATTCTTGCTACTTGTTGGTCTTTCCACTCTCAGGGTCAGGAGTTGTTCATCCTTAGGTGGAGCCTCAGATTGCGCCGTAGCCACCGAGCCCGGCAACTCCAATTATGAGGGCCAACTCCCCATCTGCGCCACTTCTGAACTGCTATCTGCTGTCTACTTCACACCGAAACGCAACAGCAACGGCTTCCTGACGCGAAAGTTTGCAATCTTCGGCCCAGTTCATGCCGAGGGCCTCCTCGGGGGGCAAGAAGGTGGAGCTCATCCCGGCTTTGTTGCACTCCTCGGCTCTACGACTCCACGCAGGTGAGGGTGGTGCTGAAGCTCTTAAATCCCTCATGAGACTTCTTGAGGCCAAGCGCGCCGCCTAAGTCGCCCTATGACCTCGCATCTTGCATCATCGGCTACCCATCACAGACCCCTGGGATCACGTGTGTGAAGTGCCAATGACGACTGAGACTCTTGGATCAAGACGTAGAGCAACGTGATGGCCTGCACAGGGCTGAAAGATCTTTGCTACCTGGGTAAGAGTGCTATTCTCGAGATGACGGCGAGAATCCCAATTGAGGGGAATCTCTGTGCGATTCTACCCTGAGGAGCATAGGGGAAGAAACGCAGAGCTCAAGTCTACCAACCCCAGGACCCTGAGGGCGGAGAACAAAAAAAACAGAAATCCTCGCGGGTGACCACGGCTAAGGCTTGAACACATCTTTTTGTCTAGGTATCTTTTTTTCCGATTGGGGTTGGGGATTGGGGGGGGGTGAAGGGCTTCGCCCCCACATTCGTAGACCCACAAAAGATCCGACATCCTGCAAACGAAGCCCTTCACCCCCCACACACAAGCCCCAAAAAGAGTACCCTAACCCTAAACCCTAAACCTTAAGCCCTAAATCCTAAACCCTAAACCCTAAACTCTGGCAAAACCGAGGCCGATGCCATGAGCAATGCATTCCAGACGAAGGTGATCTGATCCACCTGATCTAGGGGCCCAAAAAAATCCCAGTTTAGAGTTTAGGGTTTAGGGTTTAGGGTTTAGGGTTTAGGGTTTAGGGGCAGGGGGCAGGGGGCAGGGGGCAGGGGGCAGGGGGCAGGGGGCAGGGGGCAGGGGGCCCTTATACCCCAATAGTAGGATTCGTGATTCGTATGATTTGTGTGGGGTTTTTGGGGACCCCCCATGACCTGAAGCACGAGAGGGCTTGGTTCCAGGTTAGCCCTTTTCGACCGGCCTTCGCAATGCGGATGAACTTGGCCTCGTCCACGTCGAAGGCTACAGCCGTCTGAATTGCGAAGTTCACGAGCAAGACTCCTCAGATGGTATAGGTTCTCAAAAAACGGGCCCCTTTTTTGGGTTAGTATGGCGGCCCCGAATATTTAGGGTACCCACAAAAAGGACCAGGATTTTGAGAACTGACCAGATGAGGTAAGAGCGCTGGTTCTGCCGGCGATGATGTGAACTTTCCCCGTAATCTTTCAGGCCCCCAAGCCCTGCACAAAGGGACCAGAGGCCCTTTGCAGAGTATTCGATATGGTGGTGTACCTTATTGGGGTCCTTATTTTGAGGGAACTCTACTATTTGGGGTCTAGTAGGGAATCCCCAACATTCGCAAACCCCAAAAAATTGCATTCGAGGGGCCCTTGCCCGCCAGCTGTACGCCCTTTGCCCCGCTGGCGCCTTCCAGCGAAGAGTCGTGCCACGGCTTCTGCCTTGCAAGGCCCCTTCTGTCCCCTGCGGCTTTTTGCTTTTGCTGATTTGGGATTCAACTTAATCAGGGTCCGATTCCAAACGCAGAAGGAAGGATAAAGAAGGCTTTCACACACTGAACCAGGGGGCATGAAGTAGAAGAACAGCTGGGCCACAACGATGTACACCAGGATGTACGCAAACCTCAGGTTGAAAACGGAATGCCGAAGCTGCTTCAGCGCAGAGTGTCACTGGACATGCCACGCTTTAATGACAGTGTTGGACGAAAAGAAGGCCGGCGATCCTTGTAAAGCTGCCAACCCCAAAGCCCTATTGCTCGTTACGGCGAAGCATGAAGATCTGCAGATCCATAGGCCCTCACCGTCAGGTTAGTCCCAACGGCTGTGCTGAGTCTGCTGAGCTACAGTAGATGAACAAGCATCCCTTTGACAATATACATGGGTAGCAACCTCACGAAGTCGACTATCTTCGCCTAACAGGGGACAGGCTCCGGTTGGCCGGCAACAGGCAACCATAGGCGAAAGCCCCGACTCCAGGTGAGGACTGATAGCCCAAGCTAGTTGCGCAGTGGGATTGCGGCATCCCAGCGCGAGTTGAGCGCAACGTCGCACGTTGCACGCGGCATCAACGTGCTGCAAAGCGCTTCTATCACGAGTAGTGCGCGCATGGGAGGCGCGTTATTCGAGGAAGCACTGCAGCAGGGCATGGTTGAGCTCAAAGCCAAATAACTGGACTGTTCCAAAGAACCAAGCCCTAAGAACCAGCGAGAGGCGCAGGTCATGCAACATGAGTTCATGCTGGCAGTCGCGTTAACATCTCTAGAGACTTTCTCAAGGCTCCTGTTGGACATATTCAGGGGCGGGAGCCGGTAAAACCCCTAAACCCTCGACCCTAAACCCGTGGAACCGCCAAAGCTGCGAAGTGCCTTTATGAGGCATCCAAGCTGCTGGCGTGCCGGCAGCGCTGAAAGAGTGGCGCGTCGTTCCGCCGGAGTCTCCTGTCTGCACGGCTTCTCTCAGGGTTTTTGCCTCGAATGCCCTCACATGCCAACATGTTCCAATATACGGGCCTCAATTAGAACAGGGGCCATAAGGGAATATTCTTTCCGACCCCTATATTACTCACTGTTCTTATCGTGTCTTCGTGAGGTGAGGCGACAGGAAGGGAGTGGTGCGACACATCTCCCAAACCCCATGTCTGGACCTTACGCCTTACGCCCGTCATCGCCCATCCTCGCGTAGCCTCATGAATTGCTCCGCACACCCCCCAACTACCCACTGAAGCCCAGGAAGCGAAAGCAGAATGTCTGGAAACCTCTTGCATCACAGGCCTCGGCTTTCCAAAACCGGATGCCATCGGGCTGGTCCCCGCTGAAACGAATCGCAGTCATGTTGATGTCCTGGCCGTGATCTCAGGTGAAAAGCGTAGCGAAGTCGGGTGCTTGAGTTTGTCAGGGCAACGGGTGATAGGGTTTCCGAAATTAGGGGTACCTTATTGGGGTCCTTATGAAAAGGGAATCCTACTATTTGGGGTCTAATTTTTGGGGCCCTTATGTTTGTGAACCCCCATATGCTTGATCAGCCGCCGGTCCTGGGCATCTGCGTCTCCACCCATGCTGGGCAGAAGCGCGTGCTTGCGGATGCCTGAGTCTGACTGCTTTCGGGCCCTAAAACCAGCAAGCCTAGCGGCGACGTAAGGTTTAGGGTGCTTGCACAGTATAGGCTCTATAGGGGTGCAGGTAGAGATTCGCTCGAGGGTCCACGTTTCACATGTTAAGGCCTTCAAACCCTGGAAGCCCCAAAGCCCTGAAAGCCTGCAGGGCTTCCAATAGACGAGGTACCTCTTCTTTCTCGAAGGATCCGGATCATGGACACCTTGCGTATGGGGGGTTTCCGACATTCGGGATACCTTATTGGGGCCCTTATTATCAAGGGAATCCTAGTTAAGACCACTATAGGGGGTCCCTTATGCTTGACACTCCCATATGTGTCCCTAAACATCCTAAACCCTCAGCCTGTAAATTTATGTGCCAAAACAGTGACATGCCATAGCCCCTTGATGCCTTTTGCTCGCGCCATAAACCCTATAAACCCTCAAATCTTCCAAGGCGTGGACCAAGGGTAAAAGAGTCCCTTAAATGGAGAACCGTGACTCAAAAGAGAATCTACCTTGTAGTTCTGGGAGGTCAAGGATTTGAAGCAACTAGCATATGGGCCTTCATACTTCCACCAGGGTCTTGGGGGTTACTATCATATAACAAAGGGGCCGCAGAGGAATACTACTGGTAACCATTCCGACACCTAGTATGCGGATCAGTGAGGCTGAGCTTGCCTGTGTCGCAAGCATGAGGGGAAAAAAAGGGGGGGGGGGGGGGGGTCAGATTTTCGTTAGGGTTTAGGGTTTAGGGTTTAGGGTTTAGGGTTTAGGGTTTAGGGTTTAGGGTTTAGGGTTCAGGGTTCAGGGTTTAGGGTTTAGCGTTTAGGGTTTTGGGGTTTAGGTTTAGGGTTTAGGGTTTAGGCTTTAGGGCTTTCACAAATACCGAAGATGACTAATCTTGGCACTGCTTTCGCCCGTGCTGGGACGCCCAATCGCAGCTCAAGCTCAACAAGATCGGGTCTAAAGCCTCGAAGCCATCAAGCGTTTCCTAAGACCTGTCAGTGAACCTAGTCGTTCTCTCGGACGCCCCCCAAAGAAGGCCTGGTTTTTGAAGATGATGTACGCCCGGCCACTGCCCCTGCAGACATTCGCGGCAAAGTGTTGGGGGTCCCCTAAACCCGAAACCCTAAACCCTAAACCCGCCATCACCAAGACAAGCACTGCGCCCGACAAGTCAAGACCCCGAAAATGGCACCTCAAGTACTGGGGCAAGATTTCCTTGAGTTCTGCGGCATCGTTCTCCAAATCCTGATCTGAAAACACACATATATATATATATATATGTATATACATATAAAAATATAGATATACTTTACAACGTTCAGCTCACGAGTCGGCAGTTCAAGTGCTTTGTATATACATGTAGCTAAAAATGTACAATCAGATGTAGTGATATCAAAGCATTAACTTCCAAACAAGGGTCTGCTCAGAAGTCAACGTGATTCCGCGCAATACAAGAATGCTGAGATCTTGCCACTTTCTAAAGTTTCGTAGGCGACCGAAACCAGCATGCCGTAAACCCTAAACCCTAAACCCTAAACCCCAAACCCTAAACCCTAAACCCTAAGCCCTAAGCCCTAAGCCCTAAACCCACGCATAGCCACTTAGTCACCCTATGTCGGGCTTTAGGGCTTAATTAGCTCGGCCGCGAGGGTTGACAGTTTAGAGTTTAGAGCTCCAAAGGTTAAGGTTTCGGGTTGAGGGCGATTTCTGCGCAATTTGTCAACAGACAAGGATCCAGCTTGAGCTGATCGGGGGACACCGAGAAGTCCGTCTTGGCCCAGCCATTCTGGATGTCATCCCACTCCTGAGCATACACACGTCGCTTCTGCGCGAGTAGTCCGCGTCGCAGACACTCCAAAGTACCACTGAAGAGATGTGCGAAGACAGTTGTTTCAGGGCATGAGCATGCGTGCATCTCCCTCCAAACCTCCACCCCCCACCAACGCGGTGGAAACAAGCCGATCTGAAGAAGCCACCCCTCCCTTACGGGGCATAAGCTGGACATAACATCCAAGAACTCGGACAAAACATCCAAGTTCTGACATGGGCCGTAGGCTTACGTTGTGTCAGAACAAGACGTTGAGGGACGGCCCATGAGACGGCAACATCCAAGAACGCTGAACACTACACCTTGCCCGGCAACTGCACACAGTATGGGCTCTGTGAAAGGTATCGGAGCTGCTTCTGAGTTTGTGGTGATTGTTTAGTACCCAAAGATGCAAGAAGGCGTCGATGATGTGCTCCAGCATGTCACCGATCCGCTCTTGGACCTCCTCGGGCATGTGTAGCAGGTCGTACACGATACCTCGGTCGCAGGGATAAAATTTCTCTCAACACCTTTCTCCGGGGCCAAAGAGTCCAAGCCACTCACGCCATAGATTCGGTCCTGCACAGCACTGGGGGGTCCAGAGCGTTTGAGAGGGCCTGATACCATCCCTTGCACTCATGGCATGACATGACTGAATCCTTGCATTCTTAAAAAAAAACTCACTCTTCTTTGCGGATGATGCTTCATGCCTCAGCCTTTCTCCCACCCTAGCTCGATGTTATTCCGGGTGGGCCAGGGGGCCTGGATACTGAGCTCGTTCTCCAGGCGCTCTTTCAAGGCGCGCTCGGAGGTAACCTTTGCGGCGAGAGGCGGAATGCCGACCGAGATGCCTCACTTGGAGGCCCTGGGTTCCCTTGCTTGCTTGCTTTACAAGGATATACAGGATATAACCCTTGCTCTACTTATAGGTTAGTAGCAAGGAACCAACATGCCGTGCCGGCTTTCCCTTGGCTTGGGGCAAGCATCATGCTGAGGCTTCTGACTGTGCAGCAATAAACCACCTGATTCAGCATCAGCCGACAACCCTTTGGGGGTTTACGAAAATAGGGGACCCCTTATATAGACCCTAAATATTCGGATCTCCTTATCATGAGGAACCCCAATAAGGTACCCCCTAACTTCTGACTCCCCCGAGTGCAGTTAAAAGCTGGCAACCTCAGGCGGCACGTGCTCCAGCATGAGCGTGTAGTCGTCGGAAGTCTGATGCTGGGCGTCGTACTTCTTCATATACAGCTTCCTTTGCTGAGGATCACGCTCCCAAGATAGCAAAAGGCTGCCACAAGCAGATGTATGAGAGCCTGGCAATCCCTTCGCCCCCCTCCCCCTTCGCAAGTAAAACTGCTGAAGCGATTCAGCAAAGCGTCTGGTAGTAGTGGAATCCCCAAGACAGCAACACCTGGGCCGAAAGATGACCAAAACTGGTCATCTCGTTGGGGCATCCACATTATGATGAGCAAGCTCCTGCGTTGCTACAGCCTTGGCTTACTTAAGAGGAGGCAAAGCAGCTGCAGCAATCGGAAGGCTACCAAGCATATGCAAACTCATGGCATGTTGTAGAAAAGCCAAGCGGCACCACTGAACCACAAGACCACGCCCATCACCTGAGCTGTAGAAAAGTTTACTACATGATGCAAATACCATGGCATATATAAAGTCTTTTACTACGATACGGGCAGTTCTCTAAACTAGGGTCCCCCTTGTGGGTCCCTATATACAATCCGGCACCCTCATCATAAGGACCCCTAAACGACCCGAAGTTAGAGAAGTACCCATAGAATTGTTTACAAGACACTATCATCATGTACGAGAAGATACCATGATATACACACGGTCCGATGTTGTGATATTCTACAATACACTCTACCCGAACACCTAAACCCGAAACCCTAAACCCTAAACCCCAATCCCTAAACCCTAATCCCTAAACCCTAAACCCTAAACCCTAGCCCCTAAACCTAAACCGCGCCAATGGCAGCTTGGCCCAGTCACTTGGCCACGCTGTGCCCGGATCGTCTCTCGCGACACGACCTCCGCCTCAAGCATCCTGACCCGCAAATGCCATAACCCTATGTAACATACCATAATATACCATAACATACCATAGTATACCGTAATATACCATAACATACCATAATATACCATCATGTACCATCATATACCATAATATCCCGATATTTACTGTCTGGAGGACTTTAGGCTTTAGGGTTCAGGGTTCAGCGTTTAGGGTTTAGGGTTTAGGAAAAAATACCATGACTTACTCTGACATGCTCCGAGCTACGAGAGAAGACCACCCGAGCAATACGAAATGCATTGTACTTGCAAAAACTCCCTAAACCCTAAACCCTAAACCCGAATCCCCAAACCCTAAACCCTAAACCCTGAACCCGAAACCCTAAACCCTAAACCCTCTTCTACAACACAAGACGATGCTTGTTTTGCAGCCTGATTCTACGTGTGGCAGACTGCTTTGCGTCAGTCCTGAGCGCGGCCGCAGACGTGGGGCAAACGGTGGCCTCCTCTGGGGCATTTAGGGTTCAGGGCTTGGGGTTTAGGGTTTAGGGCTTAGGGCTTAGGGCTTAGGGCTTAGGGCTTAGGGCTTAGGGCTTAGGGCTTAGGGCTTAGGGCTTAGGGCTTAGGGCTTAGGGCTTAGGGCTTAGGGCTTCGGGCTTCGGGTTTCGGGTTTCGGGTTTCGGGAGGACCCTGGCTGGGGTCTTCAGGCTCAGTGGGGCGGGGAGTGGAAGAAATTGGCTCCTCCATCAGTTGCGCCAAGGTGTTGCCTGCCAGGGCTTGTTGGAAGCCAGGTTCTCGCATGACGCACGACTCTCGGCCTATGGTGCGCATCGTACTGCAACCTGGCTGATCTACTCGGGACAGACAAGCCGTTTGTGGTAGCCGCAAGGTTAAGCGGAGGCTGACTGACATCATGTGGGCATGCTCATGAAGAGAGCCCGGACGCTGCAACAGGAGCTACATGGTATGCTACTGTCATAGACATACGAGGGCTGGGCATCCCGCAGGCTTGCTTTTCCCTACACTCCCGCTCTACATCCTGCAGCCCGGAACCTGGGGTAAGCACGTGCAGGAAGAGATAAGCCACGGCCAAGGCCAGCAAACTGAAAGCAATGAGAAAGATCTGGGTGTTGTAAAACCTGAGAGGCCCCACTCTGCCAGGAGAGACTGACAGGACTTTAAGGCACATTGAGGCAATTCTTTTGGAGCTCTCTACATTAGAGCCCTACTTTGGGTCCCACCCCAAGTAGGCTCCTCAGGAAGGGCACACCCTAAGCCGAAAGCCTCGCACACACCTCCAGAAAGACAATAGCGAAGCATCTCATGCATCATCCGTACCGACCCTCCGATGAGCTCAATTCTAAAGACGGTTACAGGGTGGCTTCATGCCAGGGGGGGGTTCCGCAATCGGGAGGCTTCCGCAATTCGGGGTAGCTCATTGGAGTCCGTACTACAAAGGAACCCTACTATTGGGGGTCCCCTATTTTTCGTAAGCCCCCCAGTATGTTCTCCAAGGAGTGGCAATTGGAGCCCGACTCCCAGGTCGTCTTGGTCAGTGTCGAGGGTGGCCTCTATCATCCTCGAAGGGGAATCGAAACTCTGGGGGGGAGGGGGGCTTCGCGGACCACTGCTGCCATCTCTGCTCCCCTTCGCTCCACTCTCTCTCTCTCTCTTCCGTCCTTCCCTCCTTCCTTCCTTTCCCTTCTTTCCCTTCTTTCCCTTCCTTCCCTTCCTTCCCTTCCTTCCCTTCCTTCCCTTCCTTCCCTTCCTTCCCTTCCTTCCCTTCCTTCCCTTCCTTCCCTTCCTTCCCTTCCTTCCCTTCCTTCCCTTCCTTCCCTTCCTTCCCTTCCTTCCCTTCCTTCCCTTCCTTCCCTTCCCTCCCTTCCCTCCCTTCCCTCCCTTCCCTCCCTTCCCTCCCTTCCCTCCCTTCCCTCCCTTCCCTTCCTTCCCTTCCTCCCCTTCTTTCCCTTCCTTCCCTTCCTTAAGTTCCCTTCCTTCCCTCCCTTCCCTCCCTTCCTTCCCTTCCCTGCCTTCCCTGCCTTCCCTGCCTTCCCTGCCTTCCTTCCCTTCCTTCCCTTCCTTCCCTTCCTTCCCTTCCTTCCCTTCCTTCCCTTCCTTCCTTCCCTTTCCTTCCCTTCCTTCCCGCCTTCCTTCCTCCCTTTCCTTCCCCTTCCTTCCCTTCCTTCCTTCCCCCTTCCTTACCCTTCCTTCCCTTTCCCTTTCCCTTCCTTCCCTCCACTTCCTTCCTTCCCGTCCCCCTTCCTTCCCTTCCTCCCTTCCTTCCCCTTCCCTTCCTTCCCTTCCTTCCCTTCCTCCCTTCCTTCACTTCCCCTCCTTCCCTTCCTTCCCTTCCTTCCCTTCCTATTTCCCTTCCCTCCTCCCCTCCTCCCTCCTCCCTCCTCCCTGCTCCCTGCTCCCTGCTCCCTGCTCCCTTCTCCCTTCTCCCTTCTCCCGTCTCCCTTCTCCCTTCTCCCTTCTCCAATCTCCCTTCTCCCTTCTCCCTTCTCCCTTCTCCAATCTCCCTTCTCCCTTCTCCCTTCTCCCTTCTCCCTTCTCCCTTCTCCCTTCTCCCTTCCCCCCATCCTTCCTCCCGCCCTGCCTCCCTCAGCCAAGAAAGTGCAACACTTGAAACTGCAGAGTTTGACCCACGCCCAAAGAGGTCCCCTTCAAGTTTTGCCCTCCGCTGTGGGTCGCGCGGCGGAGCTGGTTGAACTTGATGGATGCCTCTGGCACGCGAGCCGAGCGCATCTGCACCGACTGGCTTCTTACTTCTTGCTCCCTAACCCCTAAACCCCAAACCCCAAACCCCAAACCCTATACCCTAAACCCTAAACCCTAAACCCTAAACCCTAAACCCTAAACCCTAAACCCTAAACCCTACCATAACCCTAAACCCAAAACCCTAAACCCTAAACCCTAAACATCATCCCTTGTCCGCTTGAAATCGCGAGAGAGCACCCTCCCTGCCTGCAGGGAGGTTAGGAAACCATGCCTGGGAAGATATGGTTGCAGGGGCTGAGGAGGGTATAAGGTTTAACGTTTAAGGCTTAGGGTTGTAAGGTTTAAAGGTTGAGGGTTTAGGGTTTAAAGGTTGGGGATCTAGGGTTTACCTGAGAACAGAAGGTTGTCAGTCGATGCAGGCAGTGCACGGTGTGCATCAATTGCCCAGTGATGCTCTTTTGCGCTGGCTGAGACTACCCGTATAGGGCAGCTTGGGACACATAACGAAACTGCATGCAAGGACCGAAATCTGGAAACACTCGGCCACAGACCGACATGAAATACAGAGAAAGCTTTAATTAAGCGGAGCTTCGCGATGGCCTTTTCATTGTGACTCCTCGCCTGGTCACGTGATCTGATCAACTTTTAAGAAACTGGACAGCCTTGCGGTCTTGTGTGTGCAAGACATGTGCGCAAGACATGCGTGCAAGACCTTTCAATCACAAAGGTGGCCGTCGAGGTTTGTGCACACTTGATTTTGACACTGCTACGAATACGTCTCTCACCACACATACAGTAGAGCCGCGAAGATCCCCTGGTGTGTGCAAAATACAGAAGACAGTCGGACGCACTTGTTCGCCCTCACCTCCCTGCTGGCGATGAGCATTGTTTTGTACACAGTGGTCTTAATGGTCGTTGTGGGCAGAATCCTTGTCTTGACACCAGCCCGGCTTTGGATCTTCCATGCCAGCGCGAGTCTTCACATGGTGTGGAGCCCGGTGCCCTGTAGTTCTAGGCTTGAGAAGCGATCGACAAGTGATGACTTTGGCTCGCGTCGATGAACATGCCACAGCTCCTCCGCCGGCTCATCGACGGAGATTTGGGCGCCAGGTTGTGACGACTTTTCCAGAAGGCTCGCCTTAGGGATGTCTCGACTCGTGCAATCAAAAGCATCGGACGACTCTTGTTCACTTGTAGGGTTTAGGGGTTTTGGGGACTGAAGTCCTCGAAGAAACCGCAGCCCACTCCCCACCCAGGGCCGTTCCCAAGCTGCTGGCTGGGGCTGAAAGATACAGTACTCCAACCCTAAACCCTAAACCCTAAACCCTAAACCCTAAACCCTAAACCCTAAACCCTAAACCCTAAACCCTAAACCCTAAACCTAAACCAACATGTACATACATCGGTTTGGGGCTTACCGATGTACACTTCGGGAAGTGCAACTCGACTGTCTTGCTTCCTCCTAGAATGCCGAGAGCGCTCACACAAAAACATTCTAGGCTGGCACGGCGTACAGAAACGTCGTCGTTCCGCATGCGTCCTTACTTCCGACCCCCTGCAATGTACTACACATGCCTTACTAGTTACAACAGGGTTTGGGGGGTATTAGAACATAATTATAAAAGGGCCTTGAGGGGACACGATCGGTCTATATTACTCCATCTTCCAAACTACTTTCCAGCATCCGAGAGGCTGTCAAATCTGGCGCAGACGGCGCTTTCGCAGCAAAGCTTCGCTTCCTGGTGCATGATTCACGTACAACAGCCTAAACCCTAAACCCTAAACCCTAAACCCTAAACCCTAAACCCTAAACCCTAAACCCTAAACCCTAAACCCTAACCCTAAACCCTAAACCCTAAACCCTAAACCTGAAGGGTGAAGGGGCCCGGGGCATGAGGTATATGGTTAGCATGGTTAGCTGCGCACTAGAAGCCCCAACCACAGAGATGAAGCCCAACAGAATTCTGGGCAAGTGCAAGAAGCATGTGCTGCGCGACGGCCACGTAGCAGGTGCCAGCCAATATCAGCAGAATGGCTGCCAAAATCACCTGATCAAGGAAGGAAGACAACGCCTGAAAAAGGGCACTGGCGATCTCAACTAGGCATCGGAGCAATTCTCAGGGACATGGTTTGCCAGATAGTCTCTCAGTCATGCAGCCCGAGCACAAGAAGCTAGCACGCTTGGATTTGGGACATAAGCCTCACTACATGCAAGGTGCCTGAACCTGGTGCTTGCTGTGCGCCCAAAGGCTGCCACATCTCAGACTTGTTTTTGTTTTGGGGGGGAGGTGCGGTACCTGTGCGTAGCCCTGCAACCCTGTAACCCTTAACCACATGCGGCCAAGGAGCGAACATCAAGATGTAGGCAATGTGGACGATGGTTGTTTGGCCAAAAACGATGCACTCCTTCCGGGGGGGGGGGGGGGGCTACCTCCCACGTACCGAACTGAGGTCGATGATAAATGTATTTTCTTCCTTTACATAGAAATATATATGTTTATGTCTTATCGGATCGTGGCTGTTCATGGCCATTTCAACTACCCCAAACCCTGAGACCCGAAAGCCCGAAAGGCCTGAGACCCTAAACCCCCCTAAACCCTAAACCCGAAACCCTAAACCAGGCCAAAACCCCCCATCTCATGGCCTGTGTGCCATCGGCGTGCTCCACTAGCTCGAAGCCATCCTAGGAGGGGCCGATTAAACATTTTGGGGTTTTGGGGTTGAGGGTTTCAAGGAGGGTTTAGGGTTGAGGGTTTAGGGTTAGAGGGGGGGGGGGTTTAGGGTCTAGGGTTTAGGGCTTGAATGGTTCGAGGTTCAGGTGCTCTACATGACTACACCTGACCCGAGAGGGAAGCTGTGCTTCGCTCTTACGTAGGCCGTTAGGACCCCCCGGGCGCTGGATTTCCGTCTGAAATGGCGCTCTTTTGACGGGGATTCTATTCTATTTTGGGGTAACAAAGGAGGGCCCTATTTTGGGAATTTCCAATATGATCCTCTTAAGCCCCATCATGGAAAATATGAGATAGATCCCAAGGGAACTTTGCCTAAAATGACCAGGAAGACAGCAGGCATGAGCTTGACTCTGAAGAGGACTGCGACCCATGCAGACTGTCTTGTCACGATGTGCAGCGTTCCGCAGTCCAGCGTCGAAGCATGAATGACAGGTGGCTGCCCCCTTCGGAAACGTGCAAAACCTTGGCAGCTGCAAACCCGACTAGGGCCGGAGGGGAGCTAGGGTCAAAGGTTGCACGGCAAAGTAATGAGAGATATGGTTTTCTACAGAACACCCAGATTAAAGAAACTAGCCGCAACTAGCCGAGCCTGGACGAGTGTCACGCAAAGCAGCATGCCTGAATTCAGAAGCCAGAACAAAAGGCAAGTTCTAATTCTATCGATGATTGCTGACATGGTTCTTGCAGGCCGTAATGTCGCAGGATGTGCCTTGGCCCGCAGTTTAGCAGCAGCCCACGCTCGGGCCACCGGTTCTTGTGCTACAAATTCGTTTCTCAAGGGTGAAAACTCACCCATTCCCCCCAAGCATTGCTGCCAAGGGTGCACAAGTGCGGATCTGCGAAAGGGTTGACTCCTGCCTGGTGGTCATGACCGCTTTGCACTGTCCTCTGAGCCTCCGTCTCGTCTCACATCTTCCCCCTCCTCTCTCCACTTCCCTCTCGCCTCTCCCCTCTCCCCTCTCCCCTCGCCTCTTTCACATGTGCTGTCTGAAGAAATCTGAGCCAATCTCAGACATACCCGGCTACCTGCTTAATCCGGAAAGAACACTGAAGCCAATGGACAGCATGCCCCTGGCCGAGCAGCTTCATGGGGGTTGCTCGCAGCACACTCCATCTCCGAAGCAACACAACTCACCAAGCCTCGGCCATTCAACATGAAATCGCACACGCTCATTTGCCTAAACCCGAAGCCCCAAAACCCTAAACCCCAACCCTAAACCCTGAACGCTTAAACCCTAAAACCCTAAAACCCTAAAAACCAAAAGCCCTAAACCCTAAACCCCTGAACCCTCAACCCTAAAGCAAAACCACCCCCCCCCCCCCCCCCCCCCCCCCCCCCCAAAAAAAAACAAAGGACTGAACACACTCCTGAACCCCTAGCCCTAAACCCTAAACCCCAAACCCTAAACCCTAAAAACCCTAAACCCTGCCACCGCGAGGCAGGGGTTCCCGAGCACGGGAACCGCGATGGGGCACTGGCCACCAGTCAGCGCGGCGCAGGTCGTTTCGCCTTCGTCATCCTGGCTGGCTCAACTTAGGGGTTTAGGGTTTGGGGTTTAGGGTTTGGGGTTTAGGGTTTTTCGGTTTGGGGTTTAGGGTTTAGGGTTTAGGGTTTAGGAAACTGTAAGCCCCAAACCCTAAACCCCAAGCCGCTCCAGCGGGCTGCGCTTCAGGCAGTCTAGGCCCACTGAAGCAGTGGCCCATGCTAAACCCTAAACCCTAAACCCTAAACCCTAAACCCTAAACCCTAAACCCTAAACCCAGCCGGCACATCGGCCTTGAGAAGTCGAAAATACTTCCCCGACTCCCGGCGCAGCAGCTCGGGGGTGCAGTCATCAGAGTGAACCTGCTTTGCGCTTAGAGGGTTCTGCGTTCTGGGTTTAGGTTTTAGGGTTTAGGGTTTAGGGTTTAGGGTTTAGGGTTTAGGGTTTAGGGTTTAGGGTTTAGGGTTCAGGGTTAGGGTTAGGGCTTAGGGTTTAGGGCTTAGGGTGAAGGGTTTAGCAGTAAGGGGAGTGGCAGGGGCAGGAAGAAGCTTCGGTTTGGGTTTTGGACGTGGAGTTTGGGGTTTAAAGCTCTGGGGTTTTGGAGTTTCAGGGTGTGGGGCTTGCAGTGCCCACTCCGAGCTGAAGAAGAATCAGTCGGCGCATGTAGGTTTCCGAGGGTTCAGAGCCATAACTCCAGCGAATGACGCTACAGCACCGGGATGTGATGCTTCTTCCGAATCTCGCAGCCACAGGCCTTCAAGAGGTTTATGAAAATGATGCCTGCCTGATGCTAGCCAGTGAACCCAAACCTACGCCCTGCCAGCCGACTAGACGCATCAAAGTTCGCCCAAAGTAGCCAAGTCGCAAGTAAAGGCAGCAAGGGCCAAAGCCGCCATAGGAGCTGCGGTCTCACTGCCATAAGGCAGTGTGGTATGAGCTTATGGCTGTTCGTAGGGCATCTCGGCTTGGTATTGCGCAAAATGCAGGTCCCAAAGGCTCCTAGGAAGCTTGGCTTCTTTGCTCATTCGAGAAGAAGCTCTTCGTGTGGGTGTAGACTAACGCCCCCTCAGTGGCACAAGGCTCATGCCACAGAACGTCACACTCACACTCTGTCAACACTGCATACCAGTAGGTGCAAGCTGCTTTGATTCTTGGAGCCAAGAGGTCCCCATATTTCGGCAGCTTGCAGAGAAGCGATTGAAGCAGGCCAGTGCTGTGATCACAGCCCTTAGTACTCAGACCAGGTGCAGAAGATTTTTCTTGAAGCCGCAGGTCAGAGCTTCGACTCGGGCGGGCGGACGTCGAAGGTCTTCAGCACAGCACCTCAGAGCTAGATGATTCTCTGGGAGCCTAGCACAGCCACTGATAGCTTCAAGATTTACCGTCCAGACTGACAGTAAGCTGATACTGAAATGTCCTTCTTGGATGCCCCCACGGGTTGTTATCCATGCTTCCAACACACATCCGGACACTTCTTCCCTTCGTTTTCGCGCGCATCGGCTGGCAATTGACAGCTGGCAATCGGACAGCTGTCCACATGACAGTGGGAGCGCTTGAAGCTTCCGCGCTCCAGATGCGGATTTCGCAAGGCTGGTTTCGTCCCTAGTGGGACTCAGAAGCTGTAGACCCCACGCGCGAATTTCGCGCATCTGGGAGGTTCAGAAGATGTCCCTGGCCCGGCCCTCCATGAAGAAGAGGCAGCAGAGTAAAACTCCAACATCCACGCCGGAAGAGACCTCCGACCGGGACAGATCATCTCAACAATCTGGTCTGGGTGCTTGTGGCTCGTTTGATCCCGCCCTGGTCAACGTGCATTTCCGGCTGCTTGCTGCACTTCTCAAGGGTTTAGGATTTCGTGTTTAGGGGGGCTTTTCAGAAGGCCCAAGTACTGCTTCTGGCGCTCTCTCTCTCTCTCTCTCTCTCCCTCTCCCTCTCTCACTCTCTGGCTGCTGACGCCCCTACCGTCCTCGTCATCCAATGCGGACGCTTCAAGGCATAGTGAGGCAACTGATTGGATCCCATCCGGTCGGAAGAGGCAACTCCCTTTGCGTATAAGTTCGCAATGAAAAAGTACCTAAAGAATTTGGTCCCTCCTACCCCCTACATGACCCTTTTGAGGAACCACGTTTAAGTCCCAGGCCAGGGACCATAAATCAGAACAAACCATGCGCCATCTTAGGGCTTTAGAGGGTTTAGGGGTTGAGGGCTTGAGGGTTTCGGGTGCCTTGCCTGCAAGCTGTAGAACCTCCCAGCCGGCTCTGCAAATTGCAGTGCTTGAGCCTGGGCCAAAGGTCCGGTCAACAGCTCGGGGGAGATTTGCTTGCGCGACGACTGTGGGGAAAACATCGCCTTGCCGCCGAAGACGGCTGGAAACGCACATTGGGGCCCAAACCCTAACCCCGAAACACCAAACTCGCGGGCTTCCATTCCGTGCAAGGGCACACCCCAAAACAGCCCGGCATCAAGTGCTCCGACCAAGAGAACGGCGGCCAAAGGAACAGCTGACAGGCCTCCCCTGCTGGCTCTTACAACCCCTGCATGCTCGCTGAAAAGCAAGAAAGGAAGGCCTTGTTCAGGGTACTGCAGAGGGGGGCATAGTTTGGGGGTGGAAACATAACCCAGCTTTCCTAAATGCGCTTCAGGGAAACTCTACATGAAAGCTCCGACCGAATCGAGTCGAGGGACTTGCGTTCTTGCCAGCACTTGGTTGCTGGCATCAGTTACAGTGAGCACGTTGTGCAGCGCGTCGTGGGGCAGGCCGCTGTGGAAAATCATACCTTATAGCCGTGACGGCCCTTTTGGATTCGACTGCATTCAGCACTCATTGCAGGTTGCATGCCTGGTGTGACTTGCAACGACTACATGTGCAGAGGTCTGCTTAGCTGACTGGTGTGGCACACCTCTGACATGCAGAAACAACAGTAGACCCTCAACAAAGGCTCCACCGCACTTCCATCTACACCCATAAGCCGACAATCCAAGTCGCCCCCTCATGCCGGAACATCAACCCTCACCAATGCGCCTAGCACAAGTGCGCCCAAACTTATAGCATCTGTCCCGGGATCTGCGCGAGTCTCAATCCCTTTTCAAAACTTCCAGTGCTGCGAGGCTCAAACAGCTTCGTCACTGCCGCTCCTCAAAACAAACTTTCCGCTCGGCTCCTCCTCGCCACTGCAGAGGCATGATCAGGCTGACACGCAAACACTATCAAATTGTATGGTGCATCAAAATTTGATGAGATCAATACTAATAAAACTAACAATATAGAAGCACGATTTCGTCGTGCCAAAACATATACTGCACTAACAACTCATGAAAGCATTTAAATGCTTTGAAGCCCATATATCAAATGAACCAAATAATAATAATCCTAATAATAATAGTAATAATAATAAGAAGAACCCAGTCATGGTACAGCATTCGAATCACAACAGTACAGTTGAGCCACACAAAGGACTGTGAACCTCTAAGAGACCGGTCGCCACCATGATCTAAACCCTAAACCCTAAACCCTAAACCCTAAACCCTAAACCCTAAACCCTAAACCCTAAACCCTAAACCCTAAACCCTGAACCCTATCCCCGAGTTTCAATCGAGTCACCCAATTTTCCAGCCCTTCTAGGCTCCTGCTGCAAAGATCCGAAGATGCTCAAGTCGGGGCTACAGATCTCCAGGCGGTCCTGTGATGGTAGGGTTTAGGTTTGGGGTTTGGGGTTTGGGGTTTAGGGTTTGGGGTTTGGGGCTTGGGGCTTGGGGTTTGGGGTTTCGGGTTTCGGGTCGGGCTTAGGGAAACCCTACGAGGGTCAGAAAGGTCTACAGACGCTCTCAATAAACAAGGCGAGTTTAGGGAGTTGGCGCAGGCCACCAACTGTAGTTGGGGGGGGGGGGGGTGAGGGCCCAAAGGGTTCATGATTTAGAATGGAAAATAGCTACCAGGACTTGTACCAACAGTTGAGCGCGTCTGTCTGTGTGTCTGTACACCTGACCGTGTCTTCGGCGGCACGAGCCCGCGTGGGCGTTGTCCTAAAGACGGGGGTGCCGCACATGTGCCAAACAACACTGGGCAATCCCTGTTTTTCTGAACCCCGAAACCCCCTCCGCCACCGTAAACCCTAGAAACCCTGACTCCGATCGAGCCAGCATCGGGGCGCCTGCACCCTTCAAAGCAATTATCATTAGTTTTGTGCTTTGAATACTTGGGATTCTCATCCCTGTCCTCGTCTATATACTTGTTTGGTATACTAGTACGAATGTGATTAGTAGTCTTGGTAGCCCAGTAACCATACTATGATACGGGCACCCTTTCTTGGGGTTAGGGAACCCAGAACCAAAAAGAAGGGCAAAGGGTAACAATGGGCTACCAAGTAGTAGCCGTCGCGGTTTAGGGGCTTAGGGTTTAGAATGTAAACTTTGGTTTAAAGTTTCAGCCATGTGTCCGCTCGACCTGTCTGCCGAAGGAAAGCCAGGGCAATGGCCGATGTGTCCACCCAACCTAACGCCGGGGCAGAACCCTAAACCCTAAACCCTAAACCCGAAACCCAGAACCAAGCTCCTCGAATAGAACTTCGAGAAATCCGCCCCCCCTGTCAGTCGCGTGCCAGGGGACTGGTGATGGGCACCTTGAGCAAGGATCCTCTTGGCTCTGGTCGCAGGTTCCGGAGCACGAGGATCGGAGCCTGAACTGGACACCAAGCGTTTGCGACGTTTTGCTTAAGAACGCCCCAACACAGCAACATGTTCTTCCTTACAAGGCTCATCTTGGGATTAGTATTTTGTGTCTTGTGTGTGTGTGTGTGTGTTTTTTTTTTTTTTTTTTTTTTTTGGGGGGGGGGGGGGCTCTTAAGCAAATGGTAGATTAGGGAGTTTTGGGTTGGATTGCTCTCTGATTCACACTGATCCTCAAGTATCCGGGGATTTCGCAATAGGGAACGTGAGAAATCAACTCAACAATAAGAAGCCAAACTCCTAACCGCTTAGTCGAACATCAGAACACCCTAGCAAACTTCTGGGTCCTATCTGGGTGTCTGTTATCACGCATTCCGAACTTACAGTTGAGGGTATTTTCCCCCATGTTGGTTCAAGAGCTCTGTGCCCTAAATCCTCAACCCACCTGCAACCTTGCATCCGAAAAACTACGTCACCGACCCTAAACTTAAACCCTAAACCCCTAAACTCCTGAACCCCAAAACCCCAAAACCCCTAAAGCCCTGAACCCCTAACCTCTTAAACCCCTCAACCCCTACACCCCTAAAGCCCGAAACCCCAAAACCCCTAAACCCCGAAACCCCAAAACACCTAAACCCCCTAAACCCTAAACCCCAAAACCCTAAACCCTAAACCCCAATTCCTGGAACTCTTCCGCCTCCAAGGGCTCAGCCCGTGCGGGGCTTCTCCGACCCCCGGAGCAAGGCTCCGGGTCGCGGCACCGGACCTCGACCTCCGCGTTCAGGCGCGTTTTGGTGATTTGGGGTTTAGGGGTTAGGGTTTAGGGTTTAGGCTTTAGGGTTTGGGGTTTAGAGGCTTTAGGGTTAGGACCCTTTTAGGGTTTAGGGTTTAGGGCTTTAGGGTTCTGAGAGCAGCCTAAGCAGACCCGATTACCTTGAACCGGGAGCCGTCTCTCTGATCTTTGCAGGATTTCACAGCTTCGGGATGGCTTACAGCTTTACACGGGAGCCGCCGTTCTGATCTTTGCAGGGCTTGGCAGCATTGGGATGGTTTTATGGTTTGCCTGAGAAGAGATCTACACTTGATGGGCAAGCTAACTCGATGTCTCGGAGTGGCACGACGGTCTGTAACTTTGAATGCAATGGCTCAACATGTGCAGACAGTGTGGCCAACATGCCAAAACAATCTGCACTCCATGATCAAGATCTTGCGGATGGACCTTGAGGAGAGGAAGTCCAATCCTCGGCCACCGCTCTTCTGTTTAGGCTTACTTTGCTGCTGCTACCGCTACGGCCACTGCCACTGCCTACTGCTGCGACTGCTACTGCCACTGCCACTGCCACTGCTTCTGCTACTGCTGCTGCTACTGCTACTGCTACAGTATCCCACACCAGCAACCCGAAAACCTGCTGTAACCTGATACTTTGGGCTATCCCTTTTGGGCTTTGGTTTCTTGAGCTTCCGGGTTTGCTGTTTCCCATGGCTCGCCCCAAAATCCTTCTGCAACAGCCCTGTGGACGGCGATGGTCTTGGAGGGTTCGGTTTCTCTGCTATTGTTCCTCCTCTTCATCATCGTCTTGAAACTCTCTTATCATTGCGCATTAAATTACTACTGCCACAACTTCAGCTACTTGATTCGCCTCGGCTTCCTGCCGAGA